TTAAAAAGCAGTATCTGCAGTCACTCCAAAACAAATACTCCCTTGTATTGGTTAATACATCACCAACAGTGAACGTGTTTCAGGTTATTAATGTAATGAGATTTTTTCCTTCTTTACACTAGTTGCAGAACGCAAACACAGAGCAAAGCGTTTTATGTTAGCATTTTTGGCTGTTATATTATCTCTTATATCACATCATACAGTATTATTATAAACATAGAAAATATGTATATAAAAGTGACATAATTAAAAACAGTATGTAATGAAAGGTACCTCTAAAGCAAACTATGCATTTGAATACAAAATGAATAAAACTTTTTTTTTTTTCTGATTGTCTAATTTCACAAAAATATGACTTCCATACACATTCACATATTATATTGATATGACAATATAGAGTTCATTACCAGATTTCCTGACTGCCCTTGTGATATCTTCACTCCAGTTGACACCAACTTCCATACGCCGATCTCTCCAAACAACAACTCCATGTTTCTCTAAATATTCCTGTAGTAAATCAACCCACCTAGCATCCCAACTACGATAGCTAATCATGACGTCATATTCACTGAAATGCTGACTCACAGCCTCCTCTTCTAAACTTTCAAGTCCTGCAAAACAAAACATTAACATCGACTACATGTAATTGACCAGTTTTCGTTTATTGTTAGACTATGCGTTATACGTAAAAGACATGGTATGTCTAACGCAAAAATCAAATGATTTGATTTTGAACTTGAATTTCATCTTTTACTTTCAAAGTCAAAATATTGAATTTTCAGAATGGAATATTCATTAAAGATACCCTTACTTCATTAAAATTATCAATCATCAAATATGTATATCCCATTATTAAGCAGTGTTTTTCAAATCCTATGTGATGTTTTGATGAAACAAAAAAAAAAGTACACTGCCACACAAAGTGTTTCATTGCATGTCAAAGTAACAGAGATAAAGTGAAAAAACAAAATGGTCACAAGTTCATCGGATCTAAGAACAGGAACTGCAACCAAATAAAGGCTGCATGCCATTATATGAAGTTTAGTCATTTTGAAGAGCTGGTTTTTAACATATTCATGTATCAAAACTGTCTGAGAAAGAGCTTAAGGCATATCTGAAATAAAACAAAATGGCTGCCAGCTGGCCATGTTAAATGAAATTTAACCCTGTATTTGTATACATTTGAATTCTTGTAAACTTTATTGTTACAGTAATTGTAACTTGTCCAAACATATCTGAGTAAGAGATGATGAAATGCTCAAGCAATCTATTGGTAAACCAAAACACACTGACAGCCATAAAATAATTTAAATTATTCATTCTGTACCGAATATTCCTTACCTGCAACAAGACCATCTGAATCTTGAATGAGAAAAGAGAATCTATAATCCTTTCTTCTTTCAAAATCAAGATCAAATTCATATCGAGTTTGTCCAATTTTCTGACCACCGGAGGACATCTCCCGTATACCGACCAATCGGGCAGATTTGGGGATTAACTTTCCTTCCATCTTCTCTGCATCTTTCGCTTCTTTCAGAAATACATCTAAAGGATAATTGTCTGAGGCAATTGGTGACAACACTGAATAAGAAAAATAAAAGAAGGATAATTATCTTCTGATAACACTGAATAAGAAG